TTCAGAGTTTGCATAAAATAAAATATTTTGGAAAAATTTCTGAAATATTTCATGTTGTAGGATTACTATCAAAATAATATATTAATTGTTAATATATTATATGTTTAATATATTATAACTATGTTATTAATTTTTACACACATAAAATCGTATCGGACGAACATACGTATATATTGATATTATTTTTATTTACTTCAGTAAGTTCGACTTGCTTGGAATTTAAGCGATACTTTTCTAAATAACCAAGCCAAGCGGCGAGAATCCACCCGGCAGATTGCGTAAATATGGAGCAGACGACAAACGGATAACATCCGTCTGTGTCAGCAATATAATTATACGTTGCGCAACTCTATGTTGCGCTTTGATCGCCCATTACAGAATCAGCTGACGTCTCCTCACGGAGCGTGATAACAGGAAGTAGGTCGCAATTGTTAACAGAAGAATAAGATTTCCGCTTCGAATAAGCTGGTGCGTGGCAAATTTTCTTTAGAAGTATCGTCAAAAGAAACTCATTCTCAGATCGGTTCCTCCCCCTAATAAGACTCCAAGCAGAACAAAAAAAAGTCATATCAAAATGATTCTAAAATAATTACTAAAAATTATTTTTCAGATGATTTTAATGTTTTGACGTTATCGTGACCTGTTATCCTGCTTGGGCTATAATCAGATAAACTGAACCAGATCTAATGTGATCTCGCTCGATTATTATCTTAGATTATTATCTTAAAACAGAAACGTTCGACGTCGTCATCACCATGAACAAATCCCTTGGAAACGTTCTCGATGACGCCGGTATCAGTAGCTGACTTCTAAGTTCTATACATGTGGCCCTCACCTCTCTGTGCCCTTCTCTTGTGTCACATGCCACTGCAGCGACGTCAGGCGCTTCCGCGCTTCCTCTTTGTTAACCGTCGTCATCTTCCTGATCGTACGGAACGTATGTCGCAGAATCTTGATAACCAGGATCGGGATCAGCCAGGAATCAGAGAATTCAGAAATGTGAATTACACGCGCCACAATTCTACGTTTTCCGTCTTTTGGATTTCCAACTTCGCGAGTGCAGAACGCACACACGCACGCTTATCGGCCAACTTCGCCGCACTGAACCGGAGTGAACCGCGCTCCAAGTCGCAAAGCACGCTTCGTCGCGCGGTCGACTGAGTCGACCTCAATTGGCGCTCCAGTCACGTTCCAGAAATATAGCTGCTCCAAAAAAATTCACTGCCAGCGCTAAAAATCTATATAGTTTACACGCAAGTTTACACGCCAACGCGGTGTTACAAATGTTTTCAAGCGTTTTTTGATTGGTTAATTTGTAACATTCTTCTAATTGATCAATCAAACGCTTTAAAGCATTTTTGTAACAGACTTTGACCGCAGTCTACGTTATGTACACTATATAAATTTTCAGCACTAGATTAGCAACGAAATTTGGAACACAACCACATAGATTTCATATATAAAGAACTCGCACGATATTTTATTTATGACAAAAAATAGTGAAAAAATATAACAAATTAATCACCGTTTAATTTAATTATAATTTGGTCAAAGTTCAAAGAAAAATAATGACGCGGAGTTATTTTTTTATTAATTTGGTAAGTTTTTATATAAATTGATAAGATAAAGCTAGTTAAATAAATTGGCAATTTGAAAAATTTTTTAATTAAATAAATTAGTAAATTTTAACAATTAAAATAAGTTCATTTTACTGATCTCGTTTTTTCTGACTGATTTATTTATCTGATATAATATTTAACATTGTTTTAAATTTGATTTTAAAATTTCATAAAACGGTTTATTATCTCGAGATATTATTTTAATATAAATATAAAATCTAATGATGCAACAACACGCAATATATAAGCAATACAAAAGCGATTTCAGCTGAAATCTTTTCCGAATTAAATAATAATTATTATAAACAGAATCGTATATATAACAATTCTAATTACGATATATTTATCTCTAATTTCTAATCTTTTTCTGTAACAATAAAAAATTAATTTCGTTTATGCTCAAATATATTTTTGCAGGCAGGTCGCTGTAATGTCGTGAACTTTGTCACCGATTATCGGTCACACGGTGATTTTCAATTATTTCTATATATCCATCGGATTTATGATAAATTTAAATTTATTGGCGACTATGTGTATACAAAATTTGATCAGTTGCACATTTAATTCTTTAGATATTTTATATTAAACATACAGAAAATATGAGTGAACTAATTTACTTGTTTATTATTGTTAATTAGGGTTGCCACAATTGCTTTCGACGCCTCGCTATATTTTATATGTTTTTATATGTTTTTTATATGTTTTTTGAATTAAACTTTTTGCAGTCGATCGGCGATTCATTTTTGTACACAAAATCCTTTTTGCCTTATTTCATGTTATTCTTTTGGCGTATTATTTTTTCGAAATATATACAAGAAAATGCATTGCATTGGTCACGATATTCAATTATGAATCGAATATCATATTATTGTCATTGAAGGATAAACCAAAAACCGGATCAAAATTGTGCAATCAATGAGAAATGACGTAAACGGAACATATGGAACATGTAAACGTGCGATGGAAACATAACTACCTGTTTGGAAAAAGTCAAACAATGAAGGTATAACTAAATTATGTTTATTAAAAATTATTGAAGTATTAAGCTAATACAATATTATTAAAGTTATTTGATATAATACAAAAGGATCTTTAGTCAAATTATTTTTGTTTATATACTTTCGAAGTACTTAACACTGAACAATTACAATTTGAAATGTCACATTTTTTTGTTTATTAAATATTATTGAAATATATAATCGTCATTTTATAACAAAAAGAGTTGAATCATAATTATTTTGTTCTTATAACTTTGAAATTAAATTGATTGAAAATTAATATATCGCACGCGATGTTTAAAAAGCAAAGCACAAGTCATCGCAATATCAAAATGTCAAAATTGTTTTAAAATGAGTACTTATTAAATTACTTTTCAATCAATAATTTATTTTAACGTTATTGATGTTCTTATAATTTGTTATTCTGCTTGAATGCATTTATCTTTTAAAATATCAATACATATATTTCAAGGAAGATCCTTTATTTGATTTATCATAAATCTTTTGTAATAAAATTTAGATGAATTTCTGTAAGAAGCATGAATTAAAACAACTGCAAACATTTTCCGTGAACTAACGCTCTCTCTATTGTTCTTCAAAATTAGCGATGGAAATGTATGAATTTATATGAATGACTTTCATATATACAGAAAAAAAGTTTTTCGTCTTTTTCATTGCCAAACCATCTCATGTTTAAAAAAAATAAACAATAAAAAATTGTAGAATTCGAAATACTTTCCCTAATTCGATCATGAACTTTTAGAGAATTGCAATTTGCACGTTGGTAACTCGTCCTATAACAGACGAACGCTAACTTCACACCATATTTTCAATCGATGGTCGACGTCGGAGCAGCTTAGGAGATCGCGTTGCCAATATCGCTTGTAAGTCGTAAAAAAATTTCATTCCGAGTATAAAACGTTCTTCCAGTAACGAAACAAAATATTGGAAGAATCGAAAATTAACCGGTATTGATTCGAACGATCTGTGTCGCTTTCGTTTGATCTTCAAATTTCGGTTGCTCCGAGTAAGAATGACGGGAATGACGTCACATAGCGGAGCCGGCGGTGAGTGCTCGTGATTGGTCGGCCGGGTCGGCGCGGGGTGGCGCGCGCCGCGATCGGCAGTGTCGGGTCGGCAGTGTCGGCACTGAGCGCGGCCGCCATCTTGGCAGATAGAAGGAGCCTGCTGTCGCCGTCAGCCGCCGACGTAACGCCGTCCAGCTGAGCCGTTAAAGCTGAGCGCGAGCTGCTTGGCTCCGCTGCTGGTGGAACGCGGAGAAAAATCGCGGCGGGCTCCGTTACGCGAACGCAGGAACCGGCCCGAGGAAGTAGTGCGGCGGACGAGGAGAGGCGGAGAAGGTAGAGGAGTAGGAGCAGCAGGAGGAGGACGAGAGAGTGAACGAGGAGAGGTGCCGGAGGACCGGAAAAGCAGCGACGGGCCGAGTATAATATCGGGGTGAGCGGGACGTCGCGGACGCCTCGCGCGGTAAGCGCCTCTTCTACGGCTTTGTCGTGTCGTGTCGTGATCGTGATCGTGTCGTGGTGTTGTGCACGAGGTGAAGTTAACCCGGAGTGCTCCCGAACTCCCGTAGTCTCACTCCCGTCCGTCCGTCCGCGTCGCGTCAAGGACGGCCAACTTCACCTCGTTTCTCGCGACCGTTTCTCGAGGAAATTCCTCGAGAAATTCGTCGTCCCCATTTCCTTGAAGCAATCGTCGCGCGATCCTTTCGTCGTTCGTTTCACTGGTGTAACCGAGGGTGATAAGATTAAGCCAAGGCAGAGAATTATCGAGGGAGGATACGCGATCTTTGCCGCAAACGTCAACTGCTGCTGACTTCTGCTACCACTGCTCTGTGACAGCGGGACAGTATGGCGGGACAGACGATCAACGACAGGCTGTTGGCCGCGAGGCACAGTATCGCCGGCCAGGGCCTCGCCAAGTCCGTCTGTAAGGCCACTACGGAGGAGATGATCGGCCCCAAGAAGAAGCATCTCGACTGTGAGTAAAAAGTGAAAGTTTGCCCCCACCGATATCACTGCAAATCCAAGTCCAAGTGTGGAAAAAGTCACTTTGTATATACGTGTATTATTTCATTCCTAAAACTTTTAAAGCGAATTTTACTCTGAAAAGTGAAATCTCGCTCTTAAACATTAAGTCATTCTTTTTCAAGACTGTCTCAATTTTCATTCTTTAGAGTGAAATTCCATTCGGAAGAATTTAGAGAGAGATAGTCTTCCGTGTCAATATGGCACCGTGATACATGTTTGAATATATAATATAAATTCATATTTCTATGCAGCATAGTATTATTTTTGCACACTCGGATTTACAGCGATATTCGTCAAGTGTCGTCCTGCCTCACTGGCATTTCGATCATTTTTTTAATTGATACTGGGACGGCCTAGTGCTGTTTTTTTTCTCTCCGTATCTCCAATTTTCAAAAATTTGGGGAGAAAAATGATAAAAATGTTGATAAAAAATGGAATCTATTGTCCGATTGGAATTGTTGATAGAAAAAAGGATGTCTCGACGTCACAGGGTGTCGCCTGCTTCGATTTCGGTGCGATTTCGTGGCCGTTCCTGCTGTTGATTTACAACGAGGGTACGTGCGAAACCACATAGGGAGATGGCGAGTCGCTCACCTTTTCCTATTTGCCTGTTTTCGTGAAAGAAGGTGAGGAACGAGTGACTTGCCCTCTCCACCGGTCTCGTGCGAATCCTCGGTGTTAATTTCTTAGACAAGCATGATCGAGATCGACCGCGATATTCTTCTTTATAATTCTTCTTTTCACATTGACATGTACATTGTACGTGGCAATTAAAGCAATCGAAGTCGATTGTGTCGCTCTCTTGAATGTGTGCTTGCACTTGTAGGATTTCCACAGGATTTCCACTTCACGCTTCTCGCTATAATCTTGCGACAATTCTGCGAAATGTGTCTCTGTTCAGGAACGCGTGCTTTGGAATGCTACCTGAGTGGACAATGGAGCTCCTGGAGAGTGTAATAATAGTAATCGTCATGTCCCTTGGAGTAGAGTTACCATATGAAATGAATTATAAGAAAACGATTTATATGCACATTAAAAAAAATCCTTAAGCGGAAGAGGACTGAGGAGGGGATATAATTTTTTATATTTTAAATGTAGGTATTTAAACTAATATTTCTAGAACATAATTCTGATTGACAATTCTTATTAATATAATTTTATAAATGTATGAACTTTTAATTAATTTAATTAATAACCAGGGAAGTTCTATGAGACTCAAGAAGAGTACATGTAATTTTAAAATAGTGGTAACCTTATCCAAAAGGAAAATGATTTTAGAAAGAACTTCTTTTCAGCTGTATTTGCGTTTGAAAGATGAAAACATTCAGACTTTTAAAAAGGGAAAGAAAAAGATATTGCATAGGAAGGTTAGAAAGCGAAATGTGGAAAAGGGATAGGCCTCTCGTACTACGCATGTTCGATTTGGATTCGCTTTTTTTCTCCGACCTGTGCGATCATTAACATGCTATTTTTGATACTGGGAAGAATCAGGGATGTTAATTGCGTATCAGGCATACGCAAGAATGTGAATTAGAATTATATATAAAAATATTGATATTACGCTCGCATTACACGCATCAAAAGTGAATGGATACTTTCTCTTCTCTGCGATATCTTCGTAACTTCTTTTTTATATTAATAAACGGAACGAAAACATTACATTAAGAG